CGGGGGGAGAAAGGACGGCGTCCCCTCGCAGGGGAGAGCCACCCCCTCTCCCCACGGCGAAGGGGTCGGTCCCCCGGCCCCCTTCTCCCTTCCTCGGCGAAAAAGGAACGAAAAGAGTCACGTTCCATTTGCTAGAGCCCTCTCGTTTCCGAGCGCGGGAGGGGTACTTGGAGCCCGTTTCTTCCAGGCCGGCCCAAGAGGTAGCTAGCGCATTACCCCTCGCTCTCCTGTTTTTCAGCACCTGGAAGCCACCTGCCATGGCAGCATCCCTACGCCACCCTGCTTCCCCTCTCCGTAAGCCTCGAGGGAGCAAGCGCGCTCGTTATCCACGTTTTTCCCAGTTGCAGGTGGGCCGGGTGGCCACACATCGCCAGCGATGACGGAAGAATGTACTTGGTAGTGTAACAGTGAAGTTACAAGCTGATTAAAGCACAACGGTCAACTTAAAATCTACCTAACCTTCAGAGCATCCCAGATCCAAATCTGAAACGCATCTCACAGCTAGAGCAAGTGAAGGAGGTGAACACCGGGGGAAACAACCCCACAGGCCCAAATTTGGACGAGGTGGGGGGATCAGTGAGGAACAAGCACATCTAGGGGGGTTAAAAACACCTGTAAAGAGAAGAACACGAAGGAACACACCCAGCTGTGGTACAAGGCTGCATTTAGTTAGCAACAAGATTTAATTCCCGCCCTTAAAATCTTTACTCTGGGAATACAATACACTGTCACATGTGAAAATGCAGTTAAATGAATTAGTATTCTTGAAAAGGAAACATTAATAAAATAACAAGAGCAGCCTCAAAGAGCACTCAAAGCAAGGTACATAACCGGTAGTTTTTTTACTCTCCTTTTTCTCACTATCCTTTTTTAAAGCAAAGGTTACTGGGATGTATAGAAGCGAACCACAGCAGAAAGCGCTGCTCTATAACCTGCAAATCCATACGCTAACCCAGGCAGTTAAGCAGAAGAAAATGCCCAATGCTCGTTATTCTTCCTGCTCTGTAGTCCATCTCAACTTAACAGGACTTTTCCTTATAACCTTAACTTTGCCCAGCTACCATCACTCATGGTTCTACAGTATTTCCTATAAAGGGAAGTTATCTTTCTCCACCCCGCAAGCAAAACTTGCCTCATTTAAGATTCACAGTTCGTCGTACAGTAGGATTGTTACACCCCTGTCAAATTTATAACTGAAATCACAGTAGAAGAATCCTATGGGGCACACAGGATAATCAAAGTGTCTGTGACGTTAGCTCTAGAAGATTAAAGGGAAGAACAGCTACATTCTTACAGTTAGATATTATGCTGAAATAATTCTATGGTTGTGGGTTAGTTTCTTGCCAGAAGAACACGATTTCTCATGTTCTTTCCCACAAAAAACCCAAGAAAGGTACAAACCAGCAGTGCCCCAAAACCATGAGAAATTAGGACTAGATCTTCAGGTCTTCAGGGATTTCTTGGATTCTCTATGATTGATGATGTAAAATAAAGCAGGAAAGGGGTTCTAGCATTCTAAACCAAACTTAGACTTTACCTACAGATACACACACAACCCCAAAGCACGCACCGACAAAGAGACCGCAAACGCAACATTCTTCAAGGTGGTAGCTGGGGGTTGAGGTGAGGGTAGATGCTTTTCTCTTGCATTTTCACCGATGGGGTTAGAAGATGCCAACGGGATGGCGTGATAACACGGAGGGTGCTCGGAGCTCAGCGTCTCGTTGCTTGTGCTGCTCTACGGTAAAAGAAGCACCAAGGCAACAAATAGAATCATAGAATCATTGAGGTTGGAAAAGACCTCTAAGATCATCGAGTCCAACCGTCAACCCAACACCACCATGCCCACTAAACCATGTCCCTAAGCGCCTCATCTACACGTCTTTTAAATACCTCCAGGGATGGGGACTCCACCACTTCCCTGGGCAGCCTGTTCCAATGTTTCACCACTCTTTCAGTAAAGAAATTTTTCCTTACATCCAAGAAATTTTTCCTTACATCCTTACAAAAAAATAGGAAAACACGCAACCCGGATTTCTCTCTGCTACGTGCCTGCATCCCAACACGTTTAGCTCATGAACATCTAATATTAGAAGCGCCTTCATTTTTTTAATTGATCACCTGGCTGTGGCACAACAGTTTTGGACAGACTTCATTCACAAGGTCGAACAGCTGGAGAAACGCTCCCAATTTGAGGGCATCCCTGCAGGTCACGGGAGTGATCTGGGCAGGATTATAGAAGGGAAAGGGGTGCTACTCCTCTCGGCTAGCTGAAGCTGGGAAAGCCCCGGGAGGTTCTTACCCAGGAGCTGGAGTGTAGATGTGAGTTTTGGTTTTGGACGTAAAGCAAGCTCTCAATGCAGGCATATGAAGCGACTACACACTTTTCCTTTCTTATCTTCAGGCTGGTTTGCAAAATCTCAGATAGTAAACTGCGGCCTTTCAGGAAGAATGAATTTAGGTGCTTCCCTAAATACAGCTTATATTCCTGGTTCTCACCTACTTCTCTGCCCATGACGCTACTGAAGAGACACAGACCAAGGTACCTGGGAAACTCTGTGGCTCAAAACAGAAGTGGCTACTCATTTGTTCAGAAGGAAAGTGTTGTTGTAGGTTATACAGCCTAAACCGATGTGAAATTAAGGGCAATATGCCAGGCAATAGAAATACCATGTTATGACTAAAACATCAATAAACATTCCCTATTTTCCCCCGGCTCTTTTGAACTCTAACTCTTAGGGCTTGTGGGAACAGGCTACTCAAAGATAATCCTTAAGACTGCATGTTAGAAATTGAGGCAGTATCTCACATACACGCCAGCATCTACGGTACAAACTGCTTCTCGATATTATTTTTAAGAAAAAGATGAATGGGTTACACTTCTTATAGCATCCCAAAAACTTTAACTCTATCCCTACCCCTTCCCTAAAATGAAAACAACCTGTAATAAAATTAGAGGAAAACTAACCATATGAAGTGTTTCACCGTATAAGATCTACACGCTCCCATCATCTGAATACACGGAGACTGGATGTGGCTCAGGAAGTCCTTGAACAAAGTTACTGGAGGAAGGACAGTGTGAGTGGAGACATGTTCTTGACAGTTTTTCCTCTCTCCAACAGTAGCCATAAGCTGATGCCCAGGGAAGACCACAATAACGGGCCAAAATGATCTTCTAGTCTAAGCCCAGCGTGGCTGTTTTATAATACGCTCGTGTTCCTAAACTAGGGGAACGTTCTACAGGAACCGAGAAGCCTTCCCAAGCAAAAGGCAAAAACCCAAACAAATTAAAGAGGCCTTACTCAAAATCATGCAAGCATATAGACGGATCCCTCTATTCCTGTGACTACCCTGCATGCAATTTTGTTCTGCCGTGATCTGAATCTACGGCACAGGGATTATCCCGCGAGAGTGATGCGAACTAGAGAACTGCAGTATAGCGCTGGTAATTACAGAAACCCGGTCAGCAACTGACACGAAGCGCAAGAACATGTCATAACTTTGGGCATATGCAGATCTTTGCAAAAAGCAGGACGGAATTCCCCTCCTGTAGCATTGCATAACAACAGCCAGGTGCATCACTATTATTTTTGTCAGCTGACTTTGGCTATAGCCAGAGGCAAGATACCAGAATTCTTAGACCAGTTTGATCCAGTGCTTCGCTTCCTGTCTTCCAGTTAAAGCCAGTGTTTTAAGATCCCTTTTTTTTTTTTCCCCCCACTTACCAAGTCCAAAGACAAGTCCTCCCTCCTGCTTTTCACTGGCTGCTGCAACTAGCGCAGTTAACACCTAGGCTGCTGTAAAGGAATTAAGCTTCCTGCTCTGGCAGGGATCGTCACGGGGCAAGCAAGAGGAGAAAAGGGCGGGGAGGGGGGGCAAGGAGGAAAAAAAACACCGCTAAAAACTTCCTACAGCAAAGGATTGAGTGTTTGACGTGGTATTTGTCGAGGCTAGGACGATGGCTCTTCAGTGGTGCTCAGCAGAGGCATTGCCCAACGAAGTCTGCCGAAGCCTGCTGCGATACAAAAGCAGCATAGGCAAACTGTTAAATCTTTATTTCCTGCTCCCAGCTATCGGGCTTAGATCAAAGATAAGCCACTTGTCACTGGCCTGGTTAAGCAGCCAAGCAGGCACTAAGGTACTTTAGAATATGGCTCTCCTAATAAGGTACATCATACGAGGAATAAAGATAACCATAAAAAAAAAATCATTCACTTCTCCCCTTATGGAATAAAGTTAAGTCCTGTTTTCTCATCCACTGTATCTCAAGCCTCACACACTCCCCTGATCAGTAATTTCCAATCCTCTATGCCTTAAGAAACCTTTTGTTATTTGAAGTATGGTTTTTTTTTTTAATCTCAAAGGCCTCTTATTTAAACACCGTCAGGCCTTTTGATGGTTAAAGCTTTTGTGGTTACCGGTCCTGAGGAAGGTTCTAATGCAGAAGCCATTCCAAGAAAAGTCATGGCTTCCAGATTAATGATAAACTCAAAGGTTGTTCAAGCCGTTCTGCTGGAAGCGTTCCCGTGTCATGCTTTGAGCCTGTTTGACACAGAACAATGCTACTGTGCCTCCGCTCAAAACAGGGTGGAGAGAAAGGAAATGCTAATAGGGAAAGGTTGGTCTTCTGGATAAGGCACAAGGCTATGATTCAGGAGACTGGAATTCAGCTCTTGGCAAGTCAGCCTTTCTACTCTTAGGCAAGTCTGTTTGATTCTCTGAGCCTCAATTTCCCCAACAGAAATCAGAGAAGATACTTCCCTTGCTCCCACACTTCTACCTTATTCACTCATGATGCAACTACTTCAGGGGATGAACCGCTCGTCATACGAAAGTGCTGAGCACAATAAAATGATAGTTCCACGAACACTTTAGGCTGTGGTAGTGTCAGAAAAAGGCAGTCTCTTCCCTCTTTCTCTCTTCTTACCTCCAGGCAACTCGCTCATGTGTGTTCTTACGCTCTTGCAAGCACTCCTCTGGCGATACGGGAGCTTGCTTAAAAGTAACCTGGGGGCAACAAAAAGATTGGTTTTGTGCTGGTTCAGTTTTTACTGAGCCGGTCCCACGTACAATCACAGAAATTACTGTGCCAGCAGCAATGAACGTGGTGGCACCAAGGCCAGAACAAGTTTCTGGAAGACAGATTGGGGCAGAGGTGCCAGCTTCCTGACAGAGCGCTAGCTTCACAGAACTGTAGCATAACACGTATTTTTAGCTTGAGAAATTGGTAAATCTCTCTGAAATTTCTAGTTTACAATCCTTCCTGCCCCGAGTTAGCTTTCAGAGCAGTTCTCGGGCACCTTCTCCCCCAGCCCTCTCAACTGTTTCCTATTCCTTTCTCCTCATCCCAGTGCTACAAACACGTACCGCAGTTTGGGAGTTGCTGCATTATTTTAAATAGAGAAAAATCTTTCACCTTTGTTGGCAGGCAAAGAAAAAAAAATAATTGAGGAGCATTTTCTTTTTCCACAGCGCTACATAAAAGCCTCATCTTACAGTGATGCTGATCCAGTGACCTCTGAAATGGACAAACTGCAAACTTCTTCCTTATGCCACAACCAAGATTCATCTGACGCAGTAGCACTGTAGTGAGAGGACTTAGGGAAGAGATGAGCTCAGGCTGAGCATAAGGAACTAAATCAGCAGAAAACAACTTTTTTCTGCCCAGAATGGTTCTTCAAATAGATTCGCTCTCCAAGCCAGATCACTATTGCTGGTACCAAAAGGAAGCAGCAGAATTGCTCTAGCTGCAGCCACAAAAAAAAAAAAAAAAAAAAAAAAAAAAAAAAAAATTTAAATATGATGAATGAAGCGGAGAAATT